ACGTGATATGTCTAGAAAATGCTCTACGTATAATTTTTCATACGCCATGCCTCCAAGAAGTGGGCGTGACTTTCTTATATATTTGTTTTAATAAAATCTATGAACTTTTTAAACAAATTAATTAACAAACTAAAAAATGATAATAACTCCTAAGCTTCATTATCATTACATTTAATCCATCTTTGATATCAAAATTTATAGTGTTAGTTGCTTCTTATTCAGCCAATGATATGTTAAAAATCTTGTCTATGAACCCTCTTTTTAAGTTGGATTATAATATCTTTAATCAAATTGACTCTATGAATCGAATTGCCATCACTACAAGAAAGTATGAAATTTGCAATAACGTTTTTAGCAAATTGTTGGCTAAAATGGATAAATGGCAACAACTCGATAAAATTGTTGCTATAGCATAGATTTTTTGGCAACAAAATTTTCTTGTTGCCAAATATGTTAATTTTGTTGCCATATTCTATGGTTTAGATAATAAACTTTAAAATTTTAAAAATGACAACAACGTTCTAGCAACAAGTACAGTATTGTTGCCGAATTTTAATAAATGGCAACAACTAATTTTAGTTGTTGCAAAAAATAAAACTTCTAACATAATAAAGTTAAATTATAAACAGAATTGGCAACAATAAAGTTTTTTTTGTTGGCAATAAACATTATTTTGACATACGTTGGGTTGTGGCCTAAAACTTTTGATTTTCTGCCAAAATCGAGCGGCAAACCTTTCCCTTTAATTACTTTTCTCGGTTTTATAGCTCAGTCACTAACAACCACTCTGGCTAGGGTTTTTCTTATCAGTTCTACTTGAAAGAGCTTCTCCCCTGCTGTGTCCTCTTTGTTGCTTCGTGTTGCGGCTGATCGGAGAAGAACCGGTAAGAATTCAAAATAGCGTGCAAAAATATTTAATTATGCAAAAATAATTATATAATTAGGTCACTTATTAAATTATTACATGCAAATCTCTTCATAAGCATTAAGCCACTAAGTGATAATCTAATAAAAATAATAATAGTATAAATTGATATTTACAACATCAGTACATATAACTAAAATGCTACCACGATATGTCTTGTTCTCAGCCGTTGATATTGTTTACCTTCCCGCTTATTAAGGAGTTGGTGGGATCTTCTGCAATATTATTCGTACTTAGTATTATAACATTAGTGATGTTCCATCTACACACAAGGAGAGGTTGAAGTGAATGCATAGGTTTTGACATTTTGTTGTTCCTTTTAACTTTAAGGTTAAAAAAGAAAAGGAAAGTCAAAATGATAGCTAGTGATTTCTGTGGACTCTGGGGTTTGTCCTTAGTTTCTTCCACTCTCACAAGTTCTTTTCATCCACCACATTTTGCCACTTTCTCAGTTTGGCCATGGCAATCTTGGTTGCAATTCCACCCAAGGTCGTGGCCTAATGATCAATGAAGTAGATTAAGAACCATGAGGTCTCGCGCGGGTTTAAATTCCAGTTGAGAAAAAATATTAGGTGATTTCTTCCCACATGTCCAAGCCTTGATGGATAGAGTTACTTGGTTCCTATTACTGATAGGACGTAACAAGTATTCAGTAGAATTAGTCAAGGTGCGTGTAATCTGACCCGAATACCACGATTATAAAGAAAACCTTGGTTGCAATTCCAATCCAATCTTTATACTTCTGAAGTGTCATCCATGCTCGTAATTCAAATATTGTAGTGAAATCCTTAGTGACATCAAGCCCTTCTTTTGACTTTTAACATTTCCTTCCTTTTCTTCTTTCAAATTAATGCTAAGTTTGACTTAAAGATGAGCTAGGGTAATAATACAAGTTATGTTCTTCTTTCATCATAATCTCCTTCACTATATTTACCATGATAAGATTGTTTCTACAAACTTGTAATCACCCTTTATCTTTGGTGATCCCCATTTACCCTAGCTACAACTCTAATATGAAAATGAAACTTGGGTTTATAAATTCAGCTTCAAATTAATTAGCTCATGATATGATACAAGATCTTAGAGCTGTTGCAATATAATAATAAAACAAATGATCCCTTATTCGACGATATATATATATATATATATAATCAAATAAAAAATACAAGTTACAGTAAAATGCAAACTAAAATAAACAAAGAAATGATCAAAAGCGAAGTGCAGGTACAACCACATGCGGACTTATGCTATACCGATAGGGGGCAAAAGTTCTATGTATATATGTATATGTTTTTAGAAAATAGTGATATATTAATAGAGAGCACTTTATACACAGCAAATTTTAATTGAATCCAAAAGTATACTTCCGACCTTTAAATCCGGGGTCCGTCTCCGGAGACAATGAGATCACAAGAGAAAGAGTTGCATATGTACAAATCCCAGAAATGACGAGAACAGTCAATGTTCTATTCAGAATATTCACACACATGAGAATGCAAAACCCACATGAAATGATCAAATGCACAGTGCATTGAATTATAAATTCATAATTGAAAGAGTTGCATATACATATGTGGTGTCCGCGTGTTTGTATGGACTCTCATTTATTTATTTGTTTATTGCTTTCCTCAAATATTTTGGTCGATGTCAACGTATCATTGTCGGCAAAAATTGAGAATAAGTTAAATGTACTGTTAGATTACAAATCTAATTCTAATAATTCAGATCTTGACGAATGTTTAAAGCCCACAAATTTTGAAGATTAATTAATGGAACCATATCATATCACTAGAAAAACGGTGTCATATTAGTAGCATTATTATTTGGCTCATGGACTTTGTAATGATTACTAGTACTACGCAAGCAAAGAGAAGCCTTCAGTATACACTATACAGTAAAAGGTTTTTTTTCTAAGTGCAATATGGGCTTGAAGGCTGCAGGTGCATATCTTCGAGCAAAAACTACATAGTATGGCCGTTCTAAAAAATAATAACCGATAAAATATATATTTTTATATATTAATATACAATCTACATATTTTATACCTAATTAATATATAAATTTTTTGTATATTTGGTTAGAAGAAATAATTATTTTTGGCTCATCGGATGTGCCAAAATGCGTAACTTGCCCTATTTTCAATGAGTCGGAAAAGAGCGATCGACCAAGAAATTTGATGGGATAGATAAGAACAATCCTTCCCTCAATCAGAGATCTCCAATTCAAGCTCTTCAAATGGAGAAATGTTGATAAGGAAACGATTCCCTTAAAATAAGGTTTACACAACTCAAATCCAAATAAATCAGACTAGTAAATTTCGAATATCAGATAATTAATTAAAAAAATTGATAAGCTAGAAAATGATGAAAGTGAGTGGAAGGGAACCAGAAAAGAAAAGGGGGAAATTTGATGTGTTAAGTTGAGTGCTTAACTACCAACTTAACCTTTTTGACAATTTCTAGCTCCAAGAGCAATATGTGGATCTAATATTGAAAAAGTTGGTTGAATAGATTGTAGCTCATTTGTTCACTATCTGCCTTTTTCCTAAAAGAAAAAATGTATCTACAAAAGTTGACTCATTATGTATGGTGCTATTGGAATCCAAGAAAGCATCTCTATCCAGTAATCCTTGTTTTTTCCTAGAAACATCAGTCATAAGACATTTCTTTTAAATAATTTTCTTTTTTACTTTTAAAAGAGACAGGTGGGTTTTGAATTTGTTAGTAATCTTATTTCACAGGTAAATAAAAAGCAATGACGTATGCATTATTAATGGGATCTATTCTAGACCACCTAAAATTCAAAAGCAATGTCTCTGCCTTGTCTCCCACATTGTCCACACTACACCATTTTCTCCAACATTGTACTGCATATATCATTCAACAACTTAAATAGCTTTTAAGAGAATCACAAATTAAAGGGGCTTTTAAGCTTCAAAATTTGAAAATATATACTAATGGATTATTATATGTCTTAGCCTTTTAGGGTGCACTTGATTACTCTCTTTTGCCGACAACCTAATTGTTTATTGGCAGAGGTTAAAAAGAAGCTTGAATTGTGTAGGGGCTCATTCATACTGCAACGTTAATGGGCTATAACTCCGCCATCTGTCAATTTAGTTTATTAAACATTCTTAACATTGTTTTTCACATCCTAGAGAGTTTAACATTATGCCTGTTTAATTTGTCACATTCTTGAAATTTATACTAGGAAATTGTTGTCTTATGTAAAATAAAATAGTTCGACTTGCTTCTTTATTTCTTTTTTAAGAGGTGTTGTTTTGTAATTCAAAACACGTTTGGAATTACCTTTTTAAGAATTGAAGTTATGTTTGCAATTTCATCCTAAAGCTGTGAAGTGCGGGGTCAAATCCCCATAACAGTCTCCCCTTCTGCTAATTGGCCCCCCACAAAACAAAAAGATTAAGATTTCGTGATTAAACGACAGAATTAGAATGAAGGTTTAACTATAACCATATTTCACCGAAAGCTTTCAAATGTAAAAAAATATATAAAAAATAAAAATAAAAAATTAGGTAAGCTTAAGTGGAAAGGCTATTGGGAATGTGTTAACCAAACTCTGGTGTTAACAGTAAGACATAGTGTAATTCCAAAAAGGGGGAAGGGAGAAGAGGGGACAAAAGTAAGAGGGGTTGGTTTGAGAAAAGGGGTTTTGTTGTGTAAAAAGCCTACAATGCAAATGGCGGTGTTTAAGAAAGTATGAAGAAATTTCCCATTTTAACTTTAAACACCCACACTAGCAGTAGTTGGTTATTTACCAGTACATAGCTGACGAATTAATAGTGTTGCATAATTTGCTGAGGAGCAGAAAATATATCTTAAGATTCATCTTGTTCCCTTCTTTCGGCAATAGAACATCAATCTTTCAACCAGACTAAAGTTGTAAATTGGTTTGTTATAAATTCAAAATGTGAAGAAGTAAATAAAATGTAGTGATAAAGAAACCACTGGAGAATGACAGAGCAAGGCAGGGTTTTGTAAACGTATTCGTTTTAAATTATTGAAAAGAATCTTAGCTGTTTGATAATTATTGAGCATAAACGGTGGACGGGAAGAAAACAAAAATCAAAATCATAGCATAAATGAATTATCCACCACTTCTGCAACGTTATCGTTTTTAACTGAATGACTCAAATCGAAGAGCTGGCAAATTGGGACATATTGTACCTTTACCTAGATAGAAATATTTCAATTGCATAAAACGGCATCGGATATGCACATATTCCGATTACGCTGTAATTAGTTACAGAAAATTGGAACCAACATCCAAATATTCCAACAAACTCCGAAAGACCAGCAGTCTGAATTACTATTGCCATCAAGAGTAAGGGAATGAAGAAACTGCAGTATGTATGTTACTTCAAGACAATGTTCTCTTGTTGAAAGATTCCACAGTCAAATTAGCTGTGAAAGCAGGTATTGAATTCATCTTCCGAATGAAGATATCGACCTGCAAAACATAATACCCCTACACTTTAGAAGGTTGATACCTCTCTGCAACCATTGTTATGTAGCTTAAAATAATAAAAGCTAAAAACACTAATTGCTCAAAGGATGAAAGTTGACCAGGACAAACAGGAAAGATTCATCTATAACAGTGGTCGCTAATTGGAAGAATAACAAAGATACTAGAGATTGACTTGCACAAAGGCTTATTTAAAAATCGTGGTTAAGCACCTGTCGGGATATCTCTGGCTGAGAGGTGTACGTGTTTGCCTGAAAGATCAAATGAAAGAGTTTAATGATCGTGCTTCTTCAAAAGTAAGAACTCAAAGGGCCACCTATGTGTTTTACTAGCAACGTGCCGAACTGAAGCAAAAAGGCATTGCACGAATGTTGAAATTGACGGTAACATGTCCATCTCATGCTTCAACCGCTAACATCCTAAAGCCCACAAAAAGAAAACATGGCATCTTACCAAAATGTTTGTGTTCCCCGACTCATATTCAAATTCAAGCTTTTCATTATCACTTTGAGCATAGATCGATTGAAGCATAAACCGCGTAACTGGTATTCCATCTGGACGATGATGATCATCCATCACAATCTGACAACATAATTCCAGTTATTGTTAGGTTGAGTAAAAAACATTAAAATGGTAAAATGGTGCTAGACTAAAAGCTAAGTGTTTCTCAATACACACTAAAGGCATTAACTCAGTACTGTCAGGCGATATTTAACCCAAGGTACAACTTTTTCTGGTGCATAAGAACTCACAAGCTACAAAAATGCTTTTCCTGAAACAAACTACCTTTTCAACCAACATTATAAGTAGGAAATCATCGAGGAAGTTTCACCGTGCACTAAAATGAAGATGCTATTGAAGAAATGTAAACAAGATACACCCCACCCTCCACTCACAGCCTCCAGTTTTGTGTTCAAACTGGTGGAGTCGAAATACATTGGTTGAGATACCAACTAGACTCTGGACAGTTCTTTCTAGTGGAAAACTGTATTAGGTCGAAATATAGTCATAATCCAGGAAGCATGTAATACCTTATACCCAAAGAGTTCACAGCATGCCCTCCTGAAAACAGAGATCCTATCTGCGAAAACTGTCTTGTACCTGAAGAATGATTAAACTTAGTTTTTGACACGAATAACAAATCATTAACAATACAAATGCTGAGACATCCTGAATTCTTTACCTCTCCTCGCGCTTTTCTAATGTTGCAATTTGCTCTTTCAACTGCATAATCTTTCCAGAAATATAAGAATCAACCAGTGTACCAGCGTCAGCTGTATACTTCGAGAGGCAATGAATTAGAGACAATAAAAGGTGACAAAAAGGTCTCTCTAAGAACTGATATTTCCAACTGACACTTCAAATGCACCAAACATTGCATAATAGAAACTAAAGAAAGGCACTTAAAATCTCACAGTAAATTGGCCAAAGAGAGCAGGAAAATTAGGGGAGAATGAAAGAGAAAAAAAATACAAATTCACGTTAATACTTAATACTGCTTAACAGCTCCAATGAACAGAGGATTTAACCAGCAAATTCTATACCTCTTTTGACATCTAGATATTCTGGGAGATAAAAGGCTCCTCTTTTACTATCCCAACCTAGTAACAAAAAGATGATTATGCTCAAAACAAACCACCAACATTAAACGATCAATAAATTAATAATCCCAAAAAAAGTTGGGGCCGGATATATGAACCCTCCGTAACTGTTCTACTAACATTGTCTGCAGAGAAATTTTCCAGACTGGTCAGGATATCAGGATATAAAATAAATATAGCCACTAGTGGCGATTCTCCACTATAGTTCTGAACATAAGCTATCATGGAACTCCATTAGACACTAAACACTAAATCGTATATTGCAACTAACCTAAAAGCAAGTTGTCACTAACTTCCTATAGAACATAAAGCCTAATGTGTTAGATTTTCTCCATTATCTTTCTTCCTATCAAAGATCTAACGTAAATAACTCAACTAACTGGTGATGATATTTGGAACATCAAGAAAACTACTTTTCTTTGCCATCATATAAAATCAGGTTGAAGAAAGACGTAAATTGTTTGTTGTCCAAAGATAAAAGCATTACATTTTGTCTTTTTCCTTTTCCTCTTTTCTAAACCTTTGTAATATGTATCTTTTGTATTTCAGGTCCAACTGATATAAATTATTGAATGTCATTCACAGAAAGCACCAATGACATGTATATTCCTTGATTTATCTCATTTTTAGTGACCTCTACAACTAAAACTCAATCCCAAACTACTTGGTCTGCTATATATGTCCTCAATATCCATTCCATTCAATTTGGACCTATTTCATCATAAAACTCAATAATTTATCTCTTTCTTCTAATAAAATACTCGATAATTTATCTTTTAGGACAAATTAGGGGTTTTCTAACACTAGAGGTTCTCTAAATTTTCAATAGATATACAACTCTCTATACAAACAAAAATGACTTCTAACAAACTCTGAACCTAATGTAAGCGTACCAGCACAGTTATGCCATGATCACAACTAGCTGTATCTCCTAATTGGATCTTTTGCTTCCCTCGTGTTCTATTCTTGGCTAAATTTACATGGATACTGAAACATTATGTACTTTTCAGACAGCTATTTCCCATATAAGTCTAGTAGCCTGTTTGGCCAAGCTTCTCCAAGGTCAAAAGTACTTTTTTGGGGGAAAAGGTGCTTTTGGAAGAAGCAAAAGTAGTTTCTGAGAAGTAGAAAAAAGTAACTTCTTTCCAAAAACAGAAGCAATTTTGACTTTCTTCTTACCAAAAAGACCCTTAACAAGATATAGTATATGCCAAAATAACCTTACTTATTTTAAACCTAATACTCAGGATATTAATGTAGAAGTATCTCTTCTTATTTTTAGGATAACTTTCTAATATAATAGTGACTTCAAGGGTGAATTTTTTTATATTTGTTGAATGATTTTTTAATATATTTAAATCATCTTAAAAGAGTTAAAGTACTTTTTAATTTTATTATCATATTTTACTTAAATAAAATGAAAAGATTTAAATATATCTTTAATAAAAAAAAAATTGAGATTATTTATTAACTTATAATATTAACTATTAAGTAAATCTATTCATGTCCTTATTCGTAATTTGCTACTTAAAATCACTTTTTGAAAAGAAGCTTGGCCAAACACAAATTATTGCTCAAAAGTGCTTTTCAGATTAGTTAGCCAAAATACAAACTGCTTCTCTCCCAAAGTACTTTTCGAGAAGCACTTTTAGAAAAAGCACTTTTCAAAATAAGCTAATTTTTCCATCTTGGCCAAACATGCTACTAGGTCTATTTCATCCCTTTTAACACCTTCAATGATTCATTCTGCACCTACTGATTAATACGTCTGGAGAGATAGTCGAACCATCTCAGACTACATTCTCTCATCTTTACCCTCTGAGTGACTACTTATATTTTCTTTCACTGGTGATGATTTCTAACCTCACATGACATCTATCCATCTTAACATCAGCACAACATCCGTCTTGTAAATATTTATTCAACCTTGGAGGCCTAATAATCACTCCAAAACTGGTGCTTTCTCAATATACATATATTCTTTCTTTATCCCACTTGTGAGAAAATACTGGGATTGTTGTTGTTGTTGTTGTTGTCGTCTTTCTTTTAACTTCTAACTGGGAAAGTAATAAACATCATTGAACCAAAAGTTCCATGAGCCAACCAGCTTAAACCAGCCTAAATGAGGAAATTTTCCAAGTAGATCTGTGATTTGATAAATCACTTCTGAGTTCCATAGTATATATAAATGATGAATCGATTACACGGAAACCCCACTCCAAGTTGTTTGGAAAAATTCCTATAACAATTCGTATGACAGACCAAAGTCTCAACCAAAACAAGAGCCAAGGAGCACAAGACTAGAATAGTATAAGATAACTCATTGAATGATAGGAAAAGGCATTGAATGACAACAAAGTACAGGCACACAAGTACTTAAAATTGAATTTGTATGCACCTGACTGCTCTTTTAACTCTTGAATGGCCAGTAACTTCTCTTTTGTCTTCTGCAACTCGTTTTGAAGAGCCTCTATTGTCTGTTTTGCCTCATTTTCAACTCCCAGGGTGTTAACCATTCGCAAGACTTTAGTATTGGCAGAAGAATAGTCTCCATGCCCTAACTGCAAGGTGACCAAAAGTAACATAAGGATACTAAATATGAGTTATAGCTTATAACATTAAAATTTTACCCTATCATTGGAAAAATGCTCTAAAGCACCAATAATGATTCATTTTTTTTCTTTTTGATTCCCCTCCCCTTTGATCCCCCTTTGTTGGAGCTATTGCTCCTTTGGTGACTGAACCCACGACCTTGGAGTTGTAGGTGGGGCTGCTGACCATCTGAGCAACCCCCTCTTGTCATGATTCATTCATAGTAAAAGACATACAAGTGAGTATTCCACAACGGCATAACGAACACAAAAAGAAAAAAAAGTAATTTTTGCAGCAGATAGCATTCTAATTGACGTTGAAATAGGCATTAGGTAGATAAAAAAGAATGCCAAAGAGACAAGTCGGCATGGTACTCGAAGCAGTTTTTGCCTCGAATCCATCAACATGTATAATATAATTCCACAGACAAAAGGTTCACTTAGCAGTCAAGTAGTTTGACCTTCAAAGCATATCAAGGAAACAAATAAGTGTCACTGCATCTTCGATGAAAGCGGCAAACATCTAGCGCATAATTTCAGCATCATGAATGGGATTTAACATATGATAAGATGGATATACAACAAAAGGAAGACATAAAATTTTGTAGTAAAAAAGATTATATTCCTACCAAGTTCTTTTATACTAACTCGCTCAAGTGTATTGAGAAGTCATAAGCTGGATAACCACCAAAGGCATGTACCAGCATCTTAAAAGGTCTTTTTAAAGGAATCTACATGTGAAATTCTTATGCTTCATGGACGGAAAACGTCCCAGTAGCATTTCCTGTCAGGGCGTTGTCACTGGTCTGAAAAATATATTTTAAGAAAATCCGAAAGACAACAGTACAAAGTATGTAACCCAGAAAACAACCTTGGACTCCAAGAGAGCTATCTCAGAACGTAAGCGGTCACCCTCCCTCTCCAAAGATCTTATTCTTCTAGCTTCATTATTTAGTTTCTCACTGAGCAAATTTATTTCATTCAGCTGACGAATATTCACTTCTTTTTGTTCAGATAAACTGCTCTCCAATTCCTTTATAGCGTCTTCTTTCTTGGCAAGAGATGCTTCAAGCCCCTGTAGTCAGGAAATAACTACCACAATTAGGCAAAGAACAATCAATAGAGGTAATTCATCAAAAGGAAAAAAGGGCACGGACTATAACCTGAAGAATAGCTCCACTGACCACTTCATGCCCGCTTTCAACACTCTTTTGCTTCCTCAAGTCCTCAACGACATTTTTTAAACGATCCTTTTCCTCTATAACAGCAACAAGCTATAAAGAAATTTGAGATCAAATACATCACAAGTTAAAAAGCACACAGAAGGTTACGAAAAGGTAAACTCCGAAACTACAGGCATAGGGTTATCAAAAGAAGGTAGCTAATTTTGTACATACATTACACTATATGGGAACTGTGATATCAGTACAAATCCTAACAAGGACTTGGTTTATTAAAACATACTGACCTAAACTCCAAGCTAGGAATCAAGAAGAAACAAAGATCACAGGGAAGATGGGAAAGCAACTTTACAGTAACTAATTTCTCATACATCAAATGGAAAACATGCTAACCTTCAACTCGATCCTCTTGATCTCTGATTTTGAAGAGTCTGCGCTCTCCTTTGCAACTGCAGCCTCACTCTCTGCTTTCCTTTTCTCGAGCTCAGCAGTGTCCAGTGCCACCTCCATTTGTTTAAGTCGGGCCTGGACCTCACCCACCTTAGTCATGCTATCAAGCACTTCTCTGTTTCCCAGAAAAGTAAACAAACTCTTGAATGCCAATTTAAAAGAACAAAAGCAAGGCAAGAAAATCATGCAATTTAAACCCCAATACATCTGAGAAAAAGGGATAGAAACTATTTTCATCCTTTCTCCTTTTTCCTTTTCTCAATAAGTCAACTTTCACATCAAGCAATTGTGTCTCTTAGTACTAACTACTGTAATAAAAGACAAAAGATATGTGTAGGAAATCAAAAAATTGAAAACTGTGAGATGGTAAAGTTTGAGTCACCCTAACTAAAGCAACTTTTCTAAGGTGTAAAAGATGTGCATCATCTTACTAACTTAATATGCATGAAATCTACAGGTATACTTCCTACATCCACATCCATGAATGTTTCAACACAATCAATCGACATTAATTGGGAATTAAAACTTTGTCAGTTTGCAGGATGTGCACATTATACTACTGAAGCAAAAACGGCAATGATTACCCAAACGAAAAAGAACAGGAAGGACAGAATTTCCTCTGTGGTTTAAAATTAGACAATTATGAGCAAGTAGTTGGCCTAAAGCTAGAGTAAGTAGTTAGACTAAAGCTTTCCAAATCAACAAAATAACTCCTAATGGACGTAATCTTAAGCATCAATGAAGAGCATGAAGTTAGAAACAGAGCTCATCAGAAAACATCCTTGCTACAGAACAAGAAAAACTTTAGTAAGCACCAAAATGAAGAAAAATCTGAATCAAGTTAACAGCTTACCTCTGCAGAGCTGCAAACTTGGGAGGCACATCATCAGCACATGATACACCAGGGATGTCTTTAACCATTGATTTCCAAGTAGTTAGTTCATCCTCTAACTTCTTCATATCTCCTTGAAGATCTGCTAATTTTAGCAGCTCTGATTCTGCCCTATCTCTTCGGCCCTTTTCCTCAAGTAGTTTTACCTTCAACAACTCGATGTTTTCATGAGATGACCTCAGCTTTCTTGCTTCACGTACTTCAGCCTCCTGATGACGGGATCACGACATATCAGTCAAACATTTGCATACCCAAAGTTAAAATTCTTTATAGTAAAAATGAGGCACTGAAAAGAAATGTTCTGATAAGTGGTGGGATAGTCATGCCAGTTTGGCCAGCATAAATTAAAATTCAGGAGAGCAAAATAACTTCAAGATATGAGATCAATCTGTCACCTCCTTCATAGCAATCTCATGAAAGCTAAAAGGAAAAAGCTTCCTATAGTTTCAAAACTAATCGAGCAACTAGCAATTTGCACAGCTTGTTGTGGAATTATTCTCTTAATAAAAGTTCTTTCTCCAACGTTCACTCTATTAGCTTGAAACTGATTATGTTAGTCATGACCCAGCTAACATGAATTTCTCATTATTGTAAGTGCTAGTATTAGCTCTCACTTACCTTGCAACATAAAGGACAGTGGCGGATGTAGCATGTAGGGGTGTGCATTAGATTTATCGATTCGATTTTGACCCTTATCGATAATTACTTATCGATTATCGATTTGTACATATGCTTATCGTTATCGTTTCAATAAGGTTTCGATTTTTTTGATTTCAATTTATTGATTTTTGGGGCTTATCGATTCGGTTATCGATTACACCACTAAGAAAATTTGCGGGATTCCACGGAAAGTATATCGGTATAAACACGCCTAACTAATATGGACCCAAAAGAAGCTAAAATAAGACGAACACCGTTTATAACATAAAAATTGTGTCAACAAGCACATGCAACGAAACTAAAGTAAGAGATCAAATGTATGCCACCAACACTCCAACGGTATAAAAAAAAAATACATCATCACGGCTAATTCTATTTTCCATTAATTTGAACTTCATTCCGTTGAGCTTTAAATATGATCATTCCTTAAATGTGGTAGATGAAATAATAGGGTTAGGGACTTAGGGTAAAGGAAAGGGTATTATAGAATAAGGGTAAAAAAAAAATTTAAAAAAATTAAAAAAAATTAAAAAAAAAATTAATTTTTTTTTTAGTATTTCTTATCGGTTTATGATAAACCGATAACCGAAGAGGACAAAATCGAAATCGAAATCGATAACTCGATAAGGAAAATTTCGAAATCGAAATCGAAATCGATAAATATCGATAAATCGATAAACCGATATCGATAAACCGATAACGAATAATCGATTCGATTTATCGATAAACCGATTCGAATGCACACCACCCCTAGTAGCATGTAAACAACGGGTTCAAGGATTTCCGCCACGGAGTATATGTAGATGTGTGTGTGTGTGTGTGTTTGTATATATTTATATACGTATAAAAATTACTAACATTTTAAAATATTAATTTTCTAACCCACAATTTCTAGATCATAATAGGTTCACTGGTAAAAACCTAAAGGTGTTGAATCTATCAAACTAAAATCCTGGATCAACCTCTACTCGAAGAACTGACAAAAAGCATTGAGAATTGCACATTGGACCAATAAGAATGAGGATTTAACTTACACAGTTTCTAAGTTCGTCCTGCAAATGCTTCACCAAAATGTTGTCACTAGAACAACCTTCTTGAAATGTGAAATTTGACAGTTTCTTCTCTGCTTCAATTCTCTGCTGGACGCACTGAAAAAAAAAAACAAGAGAAAATTGTAATTTCATAATAATTCAATAATGCCAAACATGGTAAACTAACAAACAGAAGAAACATGCAAGACCACAGTCTGACATCGCAGACAATGTAATATCTGAATGCATGTTCTTCAATTGTTAACCTACATAACAAATATGGCATCAACCAGATACTAGTGTAAAAATTACAGACATAGTGACTAACTATGCCATAGAAGCAACATTAGGACAGGGTAAATGCACATTTAGCACATTTATAACTTCTATAGATCATGCAGACAACTGCAACTAAAAACTCTAGGCACTCTGTCACACTTACTACATATTTCCCCTGAACAGTTTTTACGTTTGCTAATCAATATATGCCAAGCAAATACATGCACGACTGCAAAAACAAGAATCTGTTACCTTTCAAAAGATCAAATATTAAAGACTTGAAGTACCAATCCACACATGCATATCTACAGGACTTATTTTGTAGAATACCCATTCCATAACAGTTAACACCCGTGTTTTGTGTAAAGGCCATTCCCGTCTCCCAATTAGACCTTCACTTTCAAATGAAGCAGTAAATGTTATGTTGCAAGTCCATAGAAGAACTCGTTGGTCGACCATTCAACAACTTATGCAAGCGCATTTTAAAATGTCAAAAAACTTCATATAAAAAACAACAACAAAAAATTTAGATAGACCTCCACTCTGCTTGCTCCAGCATACACTTGTGTGGCTTCATGGATGACATTTAAGACAAACAAAGCAGTTATTCTAGGATAGAAGATGCATTGACCTCATCAAGCCTCTTCCTTAGTTCTTCCAGCTGCTCCTTCAGCAGAACTGACTCTTTCTCAGCATTGGCAGCTCTGAATTCCATTCTTTCAAGCTATAAAAGCAGATTAGAATTTGGATATAACACTTGATTTCAATTTATAACACTATGGATATTTCATTGAACTCCATGCAGAGCAAGCTTGCAACGTTACAATATTAGTTGTAAAACTAGCACCTTTAGATAATTTCATACACAGCAGCTTCTTACATTTTTACTTATTTTTGTGACAGAAAACTTGGATTCACTTTTCAGCTGCTCAAGATCATTCTGCAGGCGACTTTTCTCTCTTTTTATGCTTTCCGACACACTACTAAGCTTTCTCTCTAGAAGACTTGCTTTCTCTTCTGATGCAGCAGCTGATGTCTCAGCTTTTTTACGAAGATTCACCTCATGTTGGAACTTCCCCTACAAGACAATGAGATAGTTGATAAAATATATCATAGACTACAACGAGATAATCTAGAAAGTTATAAAGATTAAGTTCCTTGAGAATTCATAAAAGCTACCAAAGAAAGGCTCGAATAGAAAAATGAATAACTTAAGATAAGTCTCCATCCATGCCATTCAGAAGTTAAATGATAAATCCCCTGCGGCATGTTTACATTCTGACGTGGGCTATGTTGCTCAGATTGTTACTTTAAAAGGAACTAACAGAAAACACCTGCTTTCATTCTGCTTATACCTCTTCTCATACTTAAGGATTCCAGGATTGGGGGAATGTTAAGACTTACGACTAAGCATTGAGCATTGAGGACCAAGCCAGCACACATCAAGAAACAATGTAGACGTACACATTACAAGTCATAAATCAGTGTCATTATAATGACAACTTGAATATTATGGTCTCTGCTACCTTCTTTTCATTTGGAAGCAAAAAATGTAATAAAGTTTGAGAATCGTCTAATCAGATTAAGATAATGTCTGGCTCGCTTCTTACTTATCAGGATCTCATTAATCAAACTTATTGCAAGTGGAAATTGCTTATTGTCCTCAGACCGTGCTATTTTTCCTATTAACCAATAGAGATCTTTCCTAAGAATCTCTTATATTAAAAAAAAAGATACCTAAGAATCTGTTTCTCTTCCTTGGCATAATTAGCATATATTAAAGTCAACAACAACAACAACAACAAACCCAGTTTGGTCCCAACAAGTGGGGTCTGGGGAGGGTGGTCTGTACGCAGACCTTACCCCTACCTAATGCGGGTAGAGAGGTTGTTTCCAATAGACCCTCGGCTCAGGAAGGGCAAGAAGAAGAAGAAAAGGAAAGCAAGGGAGGAAGAAAGATGGAAGATAATTAAAAAAAAAAAAAAAAATACAGGATAAGTGGTACCAAATATTAGCAACAGGGAATACAATACCTGAGGCGAACAAAACCACATAACATAATAAAAGTCTAAGAATATGAAGGGACATGCATACTACTAAGACTATCGGTGAGCAACTATAAACTACCTACTAACCTTCTACCTTAATCCTCGACCTCCACACTCTCCTATCAAGGGTCATGTCCTCAGTGGGCTGAAGCAGCGTCATGTCCTGCCTAATCTCCTCTCCCCAATACTTCTTAGGCCTACCTCGACCTCTTCTCAAACTCTTAATGGCCAACCTCTCACACCTCCTAACTGGAGCATCAATGCTTCTTCTCTTAACATGGCCGAACCATCTCAGCCTCGACTCCCGCATCTTGTCCTCCACGGAGGCTACTCCCACTCTGTCCCGGATATATTCATTCCTAATCCTATCTCTCCTGGTACACCCACACATCCATCTCAACATCCTCATCTCTGTTACTCTCATCTTCTGCACATGGGAATTCTTGACTGGCCAACACTCAGCCCCATACAGCATAGCCGGTCGAACCACCACTCTATAAAACTTACCCTTAAGTCTTAGCGGCACATTCCTATCACACAAAACACCGGAAGCGAGCCTCCACTTCATCCATCCCGCTCCAATGCGATGCGCGACATCTTCGTCAATCTCCCCGTTACCCTGGATAATAGACCCGAGGTACTTAAAACTTGCTCTCTTGGGGATAACTTGAGCATCAAGCTTAACCTCTACGTCTGCATCATGGGTCCCGTCACTGAACTTGCACTCCAAGTATTCTGTCTTGATTCTACTCAGTTTGAAACCTTTAGACTCCAAGGTCTGTCTCCAAACCTCTAACCTCGCGTTAACTCCGCTACGCGTCTCGTCAATCAACACTATATCATCGGCAAACAGCATGCACCAAGGCACCTCCCCTTGGATGTGACGCGACAATACATCCATCGCCAAGGCAAATAAAAGTGGGCTAAGAGCTGATCCCTGGTGCAACCCCATCACCACAGGGAAATGCTCCGAGTCACCACCCCCAGTCCTCACCCGAGTCTTAGCATTATCATACATATCCTTAATCACACTAATATACGCTACCGGAACAACGCTAACCTCCAAACACCTCCACAGGACCTCCCTCGGAACTTTATCGTAGGCTTTCTCAAGGTCAATAAACACCATATGCAAATCCTTCTTCCTTTCCCTGTACTGCTCCACTAATCTCCTTACCAGATGAATCGCTTCCGTAGTCGAACGCCCCGGCATGAATCCATACTGATTTTCGAAAATAGACACGCACCTCCTCACCCTAGCCTCCACCACCCTTTCCCAAACCTTCATAGTGTGACTCAACAGCTTGATACCCCTATAATTGTTGCAATTTTGGACATCACCCTTGTTCTTGTAAATCGGAATCATCGTACTCCACCTCCATTCTTCGGGCATCTTCTTTGTCTTAAAAATAACATTAAACAGCCCAGTGAGCCACTCCAACCCTGCCTGCCCCGCGCTCTTCCAAAATTCCACCGGGATTCGTCTGGCCCCGTTGCTCTGCCCCTGCACATCTTACGCATCGTCCCTTCCACCTCCTCCATCGTAATCCGCCTACAGTACCCAAAATCCCGCCGACTCTCGGAGTGCTCCAACTCACCCAGCACAATTTGTCTATCCCCCTCCTCATTCAACAGTTTATGGAAGTATGTCTGCCATCTTCTCCTAATAAGTGCCTCGTCCAACAAGACTTTTCCATCCTCGTCCTTGATGCACTTGACTTGGTCTAAGTCGCGGGCTTTCCTCTCCCTCACCTTGGCCAACCGGTACAACCTCTTGTCCCTGCCTTTGCCCTCAAGCTCCTCGTACAAACGAGCAAATGCCGCGTTCTTAGCCGTCGTAACTGCTAACTTCGCCTCTTTCCTTGCCTTTCTGTAACATTCCCGATAAGTCCTTTTTTCCTCCTCGTTTGTACTCTCCACTAGCTTCAAATAAGCAGCTTTCTTAGCTTCCACTTTACCTTGAACCTCTCCATTCCACCACCAGTCCCCTTTATGACACCCAGGAAAGCCCTCCGTGACCCCTAGGACCTCTCTAGCAGCTACCCTAATGCAATTCGCAGTCATGAACCACATACTAGACGCGTCCCCCCTACTCATCCACCAAAAATATTTGTGTATCGTTAAGTTAGTTTTTTTTTTTTTGATGAAGTACTAAGTTTTCATTAAAGGCATCAAGAAGATGCAGACAAAAATTTATAAGAAGGAAAAAGGTGATTGCTCAGATACAAAGATTAATCTATAACTAGAGAGCATACACCTTCCAAAAGTTGTTCACAGCTAGATACAGGGGATTGGTTAAGCCAGATAAATAAATCCACTAAACATTTAGCTTTAAGAGCATGATTTGAAGTTGAGATCCCATCAAAACACCTATGGTTTCGTTCCTTCCATATACACCAAAAGATTGAGGCAGGTACCATTAACCATGTCTTTTTGATGGGTTTTCCAACTTTCCAATAGCACCAACTTTCATAGGCATCTTTGATGGAGCTAGGCATGACCCAGGCTATCCCAAAAAGTGACAGGAACATGTTCGAGATATCTGCTGCTACTGGAAAATGCAAAAACAGATGTCTTACACTCTCGAGGTTCATTCTGCACATGTAGCATCTATTTACAGTCTGGATGCCTCTCTTGCTTAGATTGTCTTGCGTAAGACAAGCTTCATACAAAGCTAGCCAGCAAAAACAGATCACTTTGGGAGGTAACTTTGTCTTCCAGATTAGCTTCCATGGCCAGTTATCAATCAGTTCTTTGTTTGAGCACAAGAGAGCATATCCTTTCTTGACTGTAAAATCACCCTTGACAGAGTCCCCCCATTGAATACTATCCCTGGCATGTGGACTGATAGTGACCCCTGCTAATTTAGCATATAGCTCCATTAGTTCAGTCAGCTCCCAATCTTGAAAATTTCTGCTGAAGAGAGGTTCCCGCACATTGTTGTTCCAATTCCGATCTACATAGGATACCTGATTGCTTGCTATTCTATATAGGTTGGGAAACTCATCTCTTAGAGCCATAGGTCCCAACCACTTGTCCTTCCAGAATAATAATTGCAATCCATTTCCCAACTTGAATTTTGTATTGAGCTCAAATTCCCCCATAGTTTTGAGATGTGCTTCCAAGGACCTGTTCCATGAGGTGAGTTGCTAATTCTAGTACACCAGTTATTTTGCACTCCATATTTTGTTATTATCAGTTCCTTCCACATTCCAGTATTCTCCCTATTGAATCTCCAGTGCCATTTCATCAACATACTTTTGTTATGCAATGCTAGATCTTTGATTCCCAAGCCCCCAAGTTTCTTTGGTAAGATGACTATAGGCCACTTAATCAGGTGAAATTTATAACCTTGGCTATTCCCCTCCCAAAGAAATGATCTTCTAATCCGGTCCAGCTTCTTTTATACTTTACTTGGAATTGGAAAAAGTGACATGAAGTATGTTGGGATACTGTCCAATACACTGTTTATCAAGGTTACTCTCCCACCTAAAGATAAGTATTGCATCTGCCATGAAGCTAGTCTCTTTTCAAAATTTTCAATCACTCCATTCCAAATAGCCTGAGACTTGTATTTTGCACCCAGTGGTAGTCCAAGATAGACAGTAGGAAATGAGCCCACGTTGCAACACATCAATCTAGCAAACTCTTCCAATTCAGGGACTTCATTTACTGGATAAATGGTGCTTTTTAACATGTTCATGTGAAGTCCTGACACTGCTTCAAAAACCATGAGAGTAAGATTCAAATACATGACTTGGGATCTTTCAGCTCCACAGAAGATAAGAGATCTGCATATAACAAATGAGAGACACCTATAGAGGTCTCGACTTCATTTCCAACTCTAAACCCCTCCAGCCATTGAAGTTGAGTAGCTTTGTGTATCATTTTGCTTAGCCCTTCCATTGCTAAAATAAATAGGAATGGGGGTAGAGGATCTCCTTGCCTGAGACCTTTCTGAGGAGAGAAGAAGCCAACTGGCCCACCATTGATCAAGATAGAAAACTTCACTGTGGTAATGCAGTATCTTATCCACCTTATCCAGCCTTCCCCAAATCCCATTCTTCTGAGCATGCATATAAGGTACGACTAGTTAATCTGATCGAATGCCTTCTCAATGTCAAGTTTGAAAATCAAACCAGGTTGTCTTGATTTTAGCCTCCAATCAAGTACTTCATTTGCCATCAGTGCAGCATCTGTTATTTGCCTTGATTTGATGAAAGCATTTTGATGCCCTGAGACCAGCCTTCCCATCACTCCTTTTAGTCTTTCTGCTAGGACCTTAGATGCAATCTTATAAACACTACCAATCAAGCTGATTGGTCTATAGTCTCGTAACTCCATAGCTCCTTTCTTTTTAGGAACAAGAGCTATGAAAGAGGCATTACAAGACCTCACCAAGTGACCTGTTTGATGGAAGTGCTGAAGAGCTCCTATAATGTCCACTTTGACTATCTCCCAAGCTTTCTGAAAAAATGCCATAGTGAATCCATCTGGACCAGGAGCTTTGTCCGGAGCACTTGCTTTAATGACTGCAATGACCTCTTCTTCCTCGAAAGGTCTTTCTAACCAATCTTTCTGCACCCCTGTGATTGTTGATATGCCATCGAAATTTGCAGTAGGTCTCCATGTTTCGCTTTCTGAATACAATTGTTGATAGAAACTCAAGATTTCTCCTTTGATCTGATCTTTGTCTTCAATGATTTCAGTGCCCACTTTCAACCTGTCAATATAGTTTGTCCTTATGTTTGAGTTAGCAACCCTTTGGTAGAACTTTGTATTTCTGTCACCCTCTTTTAGCCATAAGCACCTAGATTTTTGCCTCCATGACACTTCCTCTGCCTTAGCCATCCACTGAAACTCTTGCTGCAAACTTAAGAGCTTTTGCTTCTCTTCTCTGGTCTGTGGTCTGCCTTCTGTGGATTGCTGAATTGACATATGCTCTCCAGTGCTTTGTTTTTCTTTATTTCTATCTTCCCAAGTTCTGTCTTGTTCCAGATTGAGAGGTCTTTCTCTAAGAGTTTCAACTTTTGAGTCAGAATGAAATCCTGGTTGCCATTAACCTCATAGCTAAGCCACCATGCCTTGACCTTATCTATGAATCCCTCCATATTAAGCCACATATTTTCGAATTTAAAATAAGAGGAATTCTGATCCCAGTCTCCACATTCTAGCAGTAAAGGAACGTGATCAGATACAACTTTAGGAAGGGCAGATTGTTTGATCTTGTTGAAAGAGTCATTCCATTCAGAAGAGATGAGAAACCTGTCTATTCTTGAGGCTTGAATGCGTTCTTCCCCTCTTGACCAGGTGTAATAAACCCCTTCAAGTGGTTGGTCCACCAAGCAAAGGTCCTGGATTACATCAGAGAATCCCCTCATAGCCCTTGACCTTCTTATGCAATTAAGTCTTTCACTTTCAAACCTACAGACATTAAAATCCCCACCTATCACCCATTGATCCTCCCAGATTCCTCTAACTGCACCAAGTTCATTCCACAAATCTTCCCGTTCTAGATTGGTATGAGGGCCATATACTCCTGTAAATCCCCATCTGAAGTTTTCTGACCTACTATCTAGTAAACACGAAATGGAATAATTTCCCAGATGATTGTCAATGCAATTCCATACCCTTCTATTCCAAATAATTATAACTCCTCCCCTAGTACCGCTGGCCCTAAGCTCTACCCAGCTTGCCCATCTGCTACCCCAAATTTGTCTTGACAAAGCTTCAGTCCATTTATCGATTTTTGTTTCTTGAAGGCATAAAATATCCGGCTTCCATTTTCTGACTAGTGCTCTGACAGTCGTTTTCTTCTCAATTTCGTTCAAACCCCTTATGTTCCAGCTAATTATTTTAACTTTCATCCGGAAAAAGATTGGTATTTCCTACCCCTTACCTTTATTCCCCCACTACCGTAGTTTACTGAGCACACCAGCCTTTTAGCCTCTGTTTCCCCCTTCTTCCTTGATGTTTCTTTCCCTTTGGCTGCACTCTGCTTTTTCAATTCTAGCTCTAGTTGTCGCCTTTGCTCCATCCTTAGAATCATACCCAAAATTTCATTCTCAAACCCACGAACATTAACCCCAAATGCTTTGCATGCCTTTCCCAGAACTAGCTTGGTCCACTTGGATGTTTCAATCACTGTAGGGTTAGCCACTTGATCTTCTGAGTCGTACCAAGGGAGAGCAAGATGGTCGCCGAAAGAATGAGAGGAGAATTCAGAATCGTCTCCAAAACTTGGAGATAGATCTGTTATTTGCCTTGGAATGATTGATGAAGAAATCCCTAACTCCGCTTCATCGTCTGCTTCCTCACCTAATTCTTCGCCTTGAACTGTTGGAGAAGAGGCTGCAATAGCAGCATCACAGTGAGCTTCTGTTTGAGTGGGCGTAGAGATTATGGGAGGGTATTTAATTGGGCCTTTAGCCCTCCAGTAAGAATTATTCTCCCTCTTCCCCCTTCTATTATTAGTACGAATTGGTTTTGGGCCTGAAGAGTAGTAAGAGTGGTCCAGTGGCTTTGTACCCGAAGGCCCAACTATTTCCTTCCCTTTTTGCTTTAAAGAATTTTCTAGTGGCTTTGACCTACTACCGGTTTTGAAAGTTAAATTATTATTTTTTTGTGCAGGTAACTCAACCACGTGATCCTTCACGTGCCTGTCTATTGATGATACTGAAGCAGCTTTTTGCAGGTCCACTTCCACAGCTTTTTGAATATGAACTCCGGCGACCTTTTTCCCAATGGGCTGCGCGTGTTCATCCTGCAAAATGGAAATCTCGTAAACCCAGTCCCCACAATCGATTTCAATAGTTCTTGGAATCTCTGCTAAAGAAGCTTTTATACAGATTCGAGCCCAGTATAGCTGACTTTTGTCCCTCGTTTCAACATCAACCCCCACGAAACCACCACACAAATTCCCAATTGAACGGAAAGTACTTTCCGACCAGGCGTGTAGAGGAACCCCAAAAGCTCTAACCCATTTATGTTCTGAACTATGCTTAGACAGATTTGCGCCGGTCACCGGCGACCACCATTTTAAGGATAATTTCCTTCCATTCCAGAACCATTCACCCTCTTTCACCCTTGTTGCCTCTTGCTGTGAGGGGAAAATGAAAAGAAACTGATTGTGGGTTAACGGAATAACCTTAATTCCAGCGGTTACTTCCCATCTTTTGGTGAACCATGCCCTTATCACTTCAGATCTCGGCGACGGACTGTATAAGTTAGTTTTACAAATAGACCAAACATAAACATGACACGAACCAACGAGAACCCACTGATTCATCTCAAGAATGTGACATAAAGGAAGGGAAAATTATACAAATAATGGGATATAACAAAACATCAGCACCTCAAGTTCACTGTACAGCTGCAACTGTTTTCTGAGCCGTTCTTGAGAAGCGTTGACCTCCTTCAATAGCTGGTCCTGCAGAGCCTCTTCACGCCCTCTAGCAGCAGCTAGTTCTTGCTCTGAATTGAGGAATTGATCCCGAAATTTCTTCCTTTCAGCATCTGCATGTGCAATTCATGTCATCATGCAAATTAAAATCAATACAGTCACTGAAGGGGTCATTGCCCCAAAAAGGTGAATTTCAAACCATATAATCATTGTCCTTCCTGTGGAGAAAAGGGTTACTGGTGAATAGGAAAAAAAATAGAATTTAATAAATACAAGGGAAATTACCTTATAAGAAAAAAGCATGCTTTAATTACTAAGGAGGTTCAACACATGATTAGGAGACATAAGAAATTTAAAGGAAAATAATATTATTCCAAGTAGAGTAACATCTGCTCTCCATAATAGTGCCAACTTCGTCATGAAAGCTAGAGTTTCCCCAGAATATGATTATACCAATCTATATAACGAAAAATTCCATAGTTAGACAATTGTAAAATTTGTAAACCAAACTTCTGGTGCCATTAGGACAATGTTATACAATATTAGCATGCTAATATTCGTATTAATCAGTACAGAGTGATCTATATTAAAGGAAAAGCACTGCAGATGTGCTGGAATCCCACGTAAAAAGAAACAAGAACAGACCATGGAATATCAAGGATCTAGAAGAGAAAAAGCAAAATTTAACTCTTCACACCCACCTAGGCACTCACCAATAATTAGAACGATTCTAATGCAAAGTTCAGCCAAGCTTTCAGAAGTTGCTAGTTTTCTGGTAAAGTTGCTTTGTTTATCGGTTAAGTCGCTAGAGCTCACACATATATTTACAAAAAGAGAAGATAGCTTTAACAATTGCAATCAGGAAGAATTGAACCGTACAAATAAGATTAGTTTAGCAAAGGAGCAAATTGTAGCTTTGCTTTATAGATGTTGTTTCAACCATAGAACTCTGGCAGCTTTAAAAATCAGAATATCTTAATTGTCCGGTGAATAAACTTGTGTGGTCAAAGTAGTTAAATTTTTAAACAGACTGCTGAAAGGACAAGGGGGGAAAAAAGCATGAAACTAGTCAACCATATTCAAAGAATTGCTTACCGATGACTCACCGGCTTTAAGATAATCATTGTTTAGTGTTTCAAGTTTGGATTGGGAATCACGAGCTTGCTTTTCTGCACTGCTTAAGGCATCAAAAAACTCTGATTTCACCTGATAATAATTTGTATAAAAATAAGCAAATTCATGAAGAAAAACCCAAGAACTGAGTACAAAGAATCAACTAGGACCCATTGAGCAGTTATTAATCAACACAGGAGACATATGAATACTAACTTGCAGGAATATATTAGTTAGCTTAGAGGACTTCCATTATCTTCTGTCATTCGGTGTAATCAATGAAAGGAAAAACTGCATATAGGACCTATCATTCATACCGACTTGGAAATCATCTTTATCCTTCAGCAATATAAACAAGGAACGAAAGAAGAAGGGGGGAAATGAAAGATATAGTAATAGAAAATGAGATTAACACCTAAGTGAAGAAGAAATGTTAGCAATTACGGAATCCCAACTACATAATCACAAAAAATTAGCAATTACAAAATCCCAACTGCATAATCAAAACATCATATATACACCATCACTAAACTTTCACAATAAAAAGCTCCAACTAAAAAGTCAAAATAAAGTCAATCTACCAAGTCATATATCCAAAACCAACAAATATTATCCATCCACACATATCAAATCATCAGAAAAAGTATCTATCCAGATTAGAACCTCACCCAACTTAAAATGTTGCATTATCATCAACGCAATTACACAATAACAGCAAAGTAGGAGGGTCTCCCTGAAAATATGTGTAAGTTTTGAGATTTTCTCCTTGGCCACCTTGCGGCTTGTCTAGTACCAATATACTTAGACTTTTGCTGTTGTGCATGTGAGCTGAAATGAGATTTTTTTTACAGGCTTGAACAGAATTGAGAACAACGATCTTGTTAGTGATTCTTAAGCTCATTTTTTGACTCTTTATTCACTAATTGGTCTTGTTTTGATAGTTGTGATTTTGTAAGTTCATTTGTTTTTATTGTGGTTTGGAACATATCCATCTTAAATGAATCATGTGTCATGTGTAGTGACAAATATGGTACCAAAGCCAGATTGGAGCAGTACAATAGGGGGGCAAACAAACCTCGATGTAGGTTGAGTCCTTAGGGGGTATATGTGACGCCAATGACATAGACCAGGCTACTGAGGGCACGTCATAGAAGGACTAGCACGCTTCTAGGTTGGCAAGCTTCCGAAGAATGGGTTAATATGACACCTTAAGAAAATCCCAACATCGAAAAGGGATATATGAGTGAAGTGTCATATAAGAAAGCACAAATTCACATGGTATGCAGTTTGCACGCTTTTGGGCTCAATAACGGCGTAGTCCAAACGATAAATCTATGAAATCATGTTTGACCACAACGGACAATACGTGCCATAGGCTTGGGCTATGACAAATATATGCGCTACAAAAAGATTAGCTCAATTCGAGTTCATCTGACATGTACTTAAAATTTGTTTTTATACAATAAGAAGATTTTATCTGTGTGTGTGTGTGGTGGTGGTGGTGGTGGTGTGGGGGGGTGGGGGGGCATAAAACACCTGTATACAAGTGGTAAACCGAAAAGTCAAAAATAATGTACTCATAAGGTTATGAGACAAGCTTTACAAGTGATTAGTTAGTCGTATAGTCGTTCGGCTTCAAGTTGACTCGAGAATCAATTAGGTGGTTGGCACACACATCCAAGACAAAATTCACTAACAAATGAATAAAGCTTGAACATAAAGCTCAGTAAGGAATCAACCCAAGCTCGTAAGACCATTTACCCTATATTAGGTGGTTGGCATACACATCCAAGACAAAATTCACTAACAAATGGATAAAGCTCGAACATAAAGCTCAGTAAGGAATCAACCCAAGCTCGTACGACCATTTACCCTATATTAGGTGGTTGGCAAACATATCCAAGACAAAATTCACTAACAAATGAATAAAGCTCGAACATAAAGCTCAGTAAGGAATCAACCCAAGCTCGTAAGACCATTTACCCTATATTAGGTGGTTGGCATACACATCCAAGACAAAATTCACTAACAAATGAATAAAGCTCGAACATAAAGCTCAGCAAGGAATCAACCCAAGCTCGTAAGACCATTTACCCTATAAGTCTTAACTCTTTTAACATAAATTAATAAGCACCCGCAATAGCAATAAATTCACAGAAATGTTCTCAAGTGGGGAATGAACGAGTACCATTTGGCGGCATTGGTAAGTGCAGAGCATTTGGTCTGAAGTTTCAGGATGATCGTGAGAAGACTCCGGTAACGGCGTATCCTCGTAGATGATGAGCTGCCGATTGCCGGAGTTCGGACTGCCATCTTCAGGTTGCTTGCTCTGCGCCCTTCGCTTCAATGGTGGTGTTCTCAGCATCATGATTCCTTCCTTTTTCCGTTCACGGGCTCAGCGCGATCCTAGGGTTTTGAATACACTATCTGAATCGCCTGTCTGTTGGTATATATCTCTGATAGATGATGTATTTAGTGCTTTCGAAATGAAGCTAAGAGGAGTATTTCGAAAACTGAGGCGCCAATTGGTGATTTATTGGATCGGATTCGGGGACCCATACCGAGTCTGGATGACCCGATCCATTAAGGGATCGGACTGATCTACGTTTCATATGGCAATTAGGGGTGTTCGTCGGTCGGTATGGTACGGTATTTAGACATTTCGGTTCGGTATTCGGTTTCTTAAAATCCCATACCAATACCGTACCTAATTAAATTCGGTATGGTTCGGTTTTTCTCCTTTCGGTTTCGGTTTATTCGGTTCGGTAACTTCGGTTTATTCGGTTTGAATATTAACTAGTGCATAGAGCCATACACTCTAGTATTCTTAATTAAAGTACTCAAAAATACAAAACTGAAAATGTTTGTTGACAAAAATTTTGTCCAAAACTAGCAAATATCGACCCAAATAGAGAAAATTGTACATAAAAGAATATTTGATCATTAGAAATGTCTTGTTACTTGTTTAGAGTTAATTGATGAACTTTGAGAATAAAGGAAAGTAAAATTTTAGATTTTTTATATTTATGTTATAATTGATAATATGTGTTTTGTGTAATATAATATATATTTCGGTACGGTATCGGTATTTCGGTATTTTATCTTAAAATACCAAATACCATACCTAATACTAATTTTTTTTAAAACATAAACCAAATACCATACCAAATACCAAAATACCGTATACCAAATACCAAAATTTACGATTTCGGTACGGTAATTCGGTATTTACCAAATTATGCCTAGCCCTAATGGCAAGTGCTACTTGCGGGCATTAATGAAACAAGATGGATTGCCAAACCCTATCCGTTTTCTTTTTGTTCTTTTTGTATCAATATTTTTACAATTGTAAGAAAAAATAATGGTCGAATATGGGTGCATTTATTTGTGAGTTTTATTGTTGTTATTGTTTGTTTCTTATTATCTTGTTGTTATTATTGCTTTCCCTTTTTTTCCTTGCGCCAGGGTCTATCGAGCAGGGGCATACACAGGAATTTTTGTAAGCAGTGTCGAAATTTATAAAAGAACCGGGATATAACTTTGATTATCATACCTTTTGTCACGACCCGGATTTCCCACCATCCGGAGTCGTGATGGCGCCTACTATCGGAGCTAGGCAAGCCAAACCTTTTAAACATTCCCTGATTTCACCTCAACAAGAACAATATAAATATAACGAGTCATTTAAATTAAAGCGGAAGTCTTTAAAACATAGATAACTGAAAACCCAAAAAATGCGGAAGTTTAACATTTCTCTACCCAAGACTGGTGTCGCTATCTCACGAACTACTAAAGAGTGCTACAAACAAGTCAGAATAGAAATATATAAGTGTCTGTCTCGGTACAATGAAAACAAACTGAAAACATAGGAAGGGACTCCGGCCTGCGAACGCCAGCTAGGCTACCTCGTAAGTCCCTGGACTGAAGTCAGCTCCCGATCAATATCCTACCGATGTGGTCCAAAAGCTGCTCCGGTACCGTGATCTGTGCAAAAGAGCACAGAAGTATAGCATCAGCACAACCGACCCCATGTGCTGGTAAGTGCCTGGACTATCCCCGGCGAAATAGTGACGAGGCTAGACAGGACTACCAAACCAACCTGTGCAGTTCAATATATATATATGCAATAAAAGGAAAGAACAAAGAAATTAAACAGTTAAGAGGGAGGGGAGCATACTATGGGGAAATACAGTCCGGATATAAAGTCAACAATTTAAGTAAGCAACAGGGCAATAACAATAATTAATGAGAGCAGGAAAGTCAACAGTTGCACGGCATCAACCTTCGTGCTTTTACTCTCATCCTCACCAAAAGTAATCAAGTAAAGTGCACGGCATCAACCTTCGTGATTTCCCTCGCATAACTCTCATATCATAGCACGGAATAATCCTTCGTGCAATTGTATTCAAATCAGGGCACGGAATGTTCCTTCGTGCATAAATAATCAAAACATGGCACGGAATGACCCTTCGTGCAGATATAATCAGAACATGGCACGGAATGACCCTTCGTGCAAATATAATCAAAACATGGCATGGAATGACCCTTCGTGCATTATCACTCTTCCTCACCCAAACAGTAATCACAACCAAACGGGGCGAGGGGAGAAACAAATAATGAGAAATGTCCCGGCAAGGGAAAAACACAAGTAAACAGCTGAATTCCGGCAAGGGAGCAACAACAATAACCTTCACATCCCGACAAGGGAGATAATCAATATACTCAAACCATCCCGGCAAGGGATTAATCATATCTCTTTCTATTTCTTTCATTTCTTTCTCATTAGTCTTTTTATCATTCGAGCCAACGCTCCAAAGAATTTACCATTCACAATTAGTCCTCATACTCTTCACATTACATAGAATTCATCAATTAACATGGAAGAGCCATAACATTATCAGAATAAGTACAAACAAGGACCCACGGTCATGCTAGACACCGGTGTATAGATACTCGTCACCATGCCTATACACCGTACTAAACATTTAGCAATTAGCAAACAACACTCTAATCCTATTCCCTCAAGCCAAGGTTAGATCAAACACTTACCTCAAATGATCCAAAGTCAACTCAAGCCTCTAGTATAGCTTTACCCCTCGAATTCGGGTCCAACTCAGTCAAATCTATGAAATAATAACTTTACAATATTAATAATAGCTAAACAAACTAAACTCAATGCCTAAATATGAATTTCTAAGCTTTCTACCCAAAATTCCAAAAATCGACCCCGGGCCCGCTTGGTCAAAACCCGAGGTTCGAACCAATTCCATGTCACCCATTCCCCCACGAGCCCGAATATAGAATTTGTTTTCAAATTCGACCCCAAAACGAGGTTTAAATCAAAGAAAATTGAAAAGCCCAAATTCTACCCTTTTCCCCCAATTTACATCTTAAGTTACATGATTTAGGTCTAGGAATTTGATAAATGATGATAGAAAATGAAGAAAACGAGTTAGAAAATACTTACCCAAGAAGCTTTGGTGAAGAATCGCTCTAAAAGTCACCTAGGGGTTGTGGAGAAGAAGAGCTCGTGTGAAATTTGGGAATAATCCCGTCACTGGTATGTTTTTGAGCTTTAAAAATCACTGGGCAAAAATGCCCTTCGCGTTCGCGGGAAGGGGACCGCGTTCGCGAAGGGTAAACTGGGCAGGTCATTGCGAACGCGTGGAAGATAACGCGAACGCGCAGAAGGAAATGCTGGGGGGTCCAGGTTTGTTCTATGCGAACGCGTAAAAGGCCACGCGAACGCGATGGAGGGAGCAGCAAGTCTATGCGTTCGCGAACATCTGACTGCGAACGCGAAGAGGAAGTCTCTGGGGTCCTGAACTTGGCTTACGCGATCGCGATTATGGAGATGCGAACGCGTAGAAGGGGAACACCATCGGCAGTGCGAACGCGAGCCCAAGGCCGCGATCACGAAGAAGAAAAGGCGTGTGCAAAAATTGCAGAACCACTCCGAACCACCTCCGAATCACTCCCGAGCCCTCGGGGCTCCTAACCAAACACACACGCTAACCCAACAACATCCTACGAACTTAATCGAGCGATCATATCGCTAAAATAACATCATAAGCGAGGAATCAAACCTCAAAATCATCATTTTTCATTCTAACTTCAAAAACTTCAAATTTTAGATATTTAGGTCCGAAACACGTCAAATGACGTCCGATTTCAACCAAACTTTACAGAAAGCGCTTAACACATATTTAAGACTTGTTCCGGGCGTCGAAACCAAAATACGAGCCCGATACCATAGTCTTTTAATCAATTTTTATTTCTATTTTCCTTAATAATTCCAGAAAAATAATTTCACAGAAAAATTCTTTTTCTCGGGCTCTAGACCTCGAATTTCGACTCCGGGCACATGCCCGAGTCCCATATTTTTGTACGGACCCTCTGGGACCATCAAATCACGGGTCCGGGTCCGTTTACCAAATATGTTGACCAAAGTCAACTTTAATCATTTTAAAGCCACATTTTGAAATTTTTCACAGAATTTAACATATAATCTTTCCGGCTACGCGCCCGGACTGTGCACGCAAATCGAGGCAACTAAAGGTGAGGTTTTCAAGGCCTCGGAAGCACGGAAAAAGAGAGAAATCCGGTGATGACCCTTTGGGTCGTCACACTTTTAGACAAAAAATAGCCTTTTCATCGATTTTGTTGAGTCTTAAGTTGGAAAAGGTCATGAGTTCAATTCCACTTCATCACAATTTTTAACCACAAAGGCTCTCTCAAATATTTGCAAAAGAAAAATGTGCATGTGCCAGTTGAGGTTTGAATCTTTGACCTCCTAGAGAAAAATCAAGCACATAACCAACACACTAAGACACAATTTATGTCAAGTAGTGTCATTTTGTCCTAAGCCAAAGGAGGGTAACAAGCTTGCTGGGATGGGGCCCCTAGCCTCGAGGGAGGAACTTTAAAAGAAAAGGGGGATGAAGGCTCTGCATCACCTGACGTGGTAACTGCTTCTCAGACTTCTGGAGATACTCCAAAGGGAGCGAGCTTCGAAGCTCCTATGCTTGAACAGAGTGCCTCGGGTGATCTCCCCAAGGCCATGACAGCAAGTCAAACCTCGTCGTTTCCTGTCTTCTCCGAGGATACCATTAGGGATGCTCAGAACTTGAAGGCGTCCGAGCTAGGCGGAGTCCCGAGCGAAAACGACCCCTTCCAGGGTTACTTTGCTTGGGTCGATGAGGCCGACCCAGCGGATGCGAGCTCAATCTTCGAGGAGGCTTAACGTCTTTGTTCAATTGTAAGGTTTTAGTGGCACTGCAACTTCTCCAATGCCATACTTTTCTTCTTTTGTCTAATCGATCATTCCATTCTTTTGTGTAGGCCTTCGACAAATTAAAGGCCGAATTGCGTCATTGTGAAGTCGAATTGCATAGGGCTTCGAATGAGGAGAAAACCCTTAGGCTTCTCCTTGACCAAAAGGAGGAAGAGTTGAAGCATCTCCGATCGGAGTTGACCAAAGCTCGTGAATACGAGAATGAGTTAGAAAAGCATGTAA